AGAGAAGTATAGCCAAAACATGTATGAAAACAATACCACAGTAATAAAAGCTAGATATAAAAAGGGGCGCCAATCACTGACCTCTTCTGGCAGTTTCCAGCTACACCAATAGCTGACCCATTGTGTATTCCAGGCTGGCCTCGAACTGTTATGGTTTATTAAGGCAGGAAATACTACAGTCTGATCTGTAAAAACCAACAGGAGTTGGCTAAAACTAGACAGACATGACAGAAGCATCAGGCTAGGGCTCTTCCACCAGGCCACCTGTGGCAGGTGACAGATAACATCCAGCAGTAGGGGTCTCAGAGCCAACTGGGCAAATTGCTGCTCCAGTCCCTTAAGAGCCACTTCTAAAGGTAGCTTTTCCCCAAACTCTCTTTCCATTCCTGGGCCCATGCTTTGATTATGCAAGCTTTGATTTCTTGGAAAATTTGTTTTCTTTCATGCTTTTTTTTCTTTTTTTTGAGACAATGTCTCACTATGTAGTTCAGACTTGTCTTGGGTTCACTTATGTAGCCCAGGTCTTAAAACTCACAGCAATCCTCCTGCCTCAGCTTTCTGTATGCTGGGATTATGGGCATGTGATATCATGCCTGGCTATAAAGCTTCCTTTGAGAAGTGGGCTTATAGGCAACCCTTGAGACCCCTCTTGTCTCTCAGGAGCTATTTCTATTCTCCACTTCTTTTCTCCAATAACTTTTCCTACTCTTACAAAAGAAAAAATTCATATTAAATTAACGTATTGATAAGACATAGCCATACCCAAAAATGTGAAAAATATGCATTTCAGAATTGAAGAAACTCATGGTGGCATGTCTATAATCCCAGCCCTTGGGAGGCTGAAGCTGGCCTGCTATGAGTTCAAGGTCAACTTGGGCTACACAGTGAGTTCAAGGTCAGTCTGAACTGCGTAATGAGCCCTGTCTCAAAAATACAGAACTGAAGAAACTAAACTCTTGCTAAATGTTCTTTATACTAAGTCTGGGTTCAAGATCTTCACTGCAAACTGATTTTTTTTTTTTTTTTTTTTTTTTTGACACAGGGCCTCCCACTGTAATTCAGGTTGGCCTTGAACTCGCTATGTAGCCCAGGCTGACCCTGAACTTGCAGCCTCAGCCTCCTGAATGCTGGGATTATTGGTGTTACCATGTCCTGATGTGTAAACTGACATTTTGGAGTCTGAGGTCTTGTAGTAAGAGAACCACTTTAAAGCTGGATATGGTCCTGTGTCCCTAAAAATCTAGCACTCAGGAGGCTGAGGCATAAAGATCACAAGTTTGGGGCTTGCCTGGGCTACATAGTGAATTTGAGGGCAACATGAACTATACAAGAAGATCCTGCCTCAGGACAAAACCCAGTGGTTTTAAATTTGTTTCTTCCCCAGTGCCATTTAATCCCTGACATGGGACTTTGTTTTCCAGGGAGTGTCCATTTACCATTCCACAGACACAGTCTCTGCTGGCTGACCTTGCACAGCTCCTGAAACTTCAGAGGGAGGACGGGAGGGTGAAGAAAGACAAGAGTTAAAATACAGAAGCTGACATCAGGTGGAGCCCACTCTCCTAGAGGAGAAAGGAACTGCCCGGCACCCACAGCACACAAGTTATACAACCGCATTAGTAAGTTCGTGGAGCGTTTTAAGGGGAGGGTAGCATGAAAATGTCATCTGTAGCCGCATGCCTTGGTGGCTTCACAGGGACAAGAAAGCTGTGTTATCTCCAGCAAAGTCCAGGTCACGATGTGCATCAGCTCCCTGCCAAACTCATGAGAAACAGTGGCCTTGTCCTAGATACCTGAGGGACAATTTCTGTGCTTAAAACTAGGCACGGTGAGGGGCTAGGGGATTTAGCTCAGCGGTGTAAGAGCCTGCCTTGAAAGCAGGCAGTCATGAGTTCAATCCCCGGTACCGATAAAAAGGAAAAAGATTTAAAAAAAAAAATAATAACAAAAAAAACCAACCAAACAAACAAAAAAACCTAGGCATGGTGCACCATGCCTGTAATTCCAGCTACTCGAGAGGCTGGAGCAGGAGGGTCTCCAGTTCAAGGTCAGTCCTAGCAACTTAGTAAAACTGAAAAAAGAAAGAACAAAAGAAAGGAAAAGAAAATAAAAAAATAGTGAAGATACTTAAAACTGTGCAGTATCCAATAGGCTCCAGGAAGGAGAGTCAGACTCCTCCCTGAAACAGGCACAGCCCACCACCTGCTAAATTAGACAGAAATAGGCAAAGACTGCAAGACACACCCAAGTTGTGGCTGGATCGAATGTGAAGGAAGCCGGGCCAAAAGACGGAGATTTGGAGGCCAGGCCTGCAAGCTTCCCTAGGGATTAACAGCAGCTTGGATTACACTGGTCAGTGCCCCTGGTCCACTGGACCCAACTAACGCATCAAATGCACGGTGAGTGACCGGGACACTGATCCACGTCCAGGAACGTTCTCTCTATATTAGAAGTTATGGGTAAGCTAAAGTTAAAAGGTACTAGCCATATACCCTTCTATGTTCCCACTTCTCGACTGGATCACTGCTAGCTACAGGACTATACTTACAACCCTATGGGTCCATTGCAGTTTGCCCTGTAGCTATCTAAGCTGTGATTTTGCTGTGTGAAATACCCTTCACATGAGAGAAAGATTTGTGCTGGATTGTTCGGACAATCGAATGCAGGGGTCATGTGCTCCAGGTAAATAATGATTTGGGGGTGACAATGTGCAGTTATTATGTACCCTTGCTGCCCTGATGAACATTTTAAATTTTTTGGCCTTAAAATAAAAGTGGATTTGGAAAAAAATAAAATACCCTTAACAAAAAACCCTTCCTGTCTCTCAGGAGCTTTGTTTCAATAACCCACTCTTAACCCTCAACTCCTTTTCCATGCCGGGAGACACAAACTTTGGCACCTCTGATATCCAGGCGTCATTTCCCTGTGGTAACGCCACAAGAGGGAAAGGTCTTACTTCTGTCCTATAGAGAATGAGAACCAGGTGTGACGGCATATGCTATTTAGCAGGCTGAGGCAGGAGGACTGAAGACTATGGGCAACCTGTCATGTTTTAAAATACTTTGAAAAAGAAGTTAAAGATATACCTTAGCACTCCTTGGGTACAATTCCTTGTTCAGCACAAGAACATCAGATAAGAAAAATAAAACAAGCAAACAAGAATGACGACAGGCTGGAAACAACTTATTCAAAAGGATCTAAAATCTTGTCTTCAACTGGTTGAGGGTCATCACTGATCTGAGACAAAAACTTTTTTGCCCACTTTTAAGGAGCAACACCTAACCCACGACCTTCTCAGGGTAAATACCAGAAAGCCCTCACTAACTCTACGACACGGCCAACAGGCCACAGTTGGCTTACACTTATTTTAATTGGTTCACTCTGATTTTCTCTTTTTCGTTGCATTTATAATTCACAGAGAAATTTCATAACAAAATCTGGATTGCTGGCTGGGCGTGGTGGCACACTCCTGTAATGCCTGCATCAGGAGGCTGAGGCAGGCAGATCGTTGCGAATTTGAGACCAGCCTGGGCTACAAAGTGCGCCCAAAGCCAGCCTGCATAGTGAGACGCTGTCTCAAAAACACACAAAAAAAACAACAAAACCTGGATTCTGGCTTTCTTGAAAAATGGTGTCCAGGGACACAGCTCAGCAGCACAGCACCTATCTAGCAAGAGCAAGGTCCGGAGTTTGATTCCTGATACCAAAAATGTCAACATTTAGTCACACAGAGGGTACTGCTGCCTGGGTAAGTCATGAACAAGGCTGGTTAGAGAAGTCTGTTCTGGGAGCCAGGTTTACTTCCTTCTTCACCCACCCATTTGCTTTGTTTTTTTCTGATTTGAAAAGTTCTTTCATCCATCATCCTAATCTTAGTTGGCTCCAATGGGCCTCCTTCCTTCCTGATGTATTCAAGCAACTCTGGCTAATTTTATCTCCCTCCTGCTTCTAAATATCCTGTACTGGAATGCTCTGATTCTTGCCATTTTTGTTTGGCTGTGTACTACCCAGAAGACAGGGGCTGAGACTTCTGTGTCCCCTTGAAACTGATAGAGCTGAGCTCACAAGGTGTTTGACACCTGTCAAACCCTCGGCTTACAGGTATGAGGTCACCACCGCCGTGGAGCGGCACAGCTGTCTACCACTCTGCGTGACTGATGCAGTCACAGGGGTCAGCACTGTCTGTAGAGGGCAAACACGAGTGTGCATTGCAATGGGTTGCTAGGATTCCACCCTACTGGAGGAACTGCCCCACACCTTCCACACATCGCAGAAACTCGCTTATTCTGGGGGCCCAGGTTCTAGCATCACCATGGCTAGGTGGCCCCCTAGCCAGTCTTCCAGTCATGGTTGCCACCTCCTGGCTCTGCATGCACCCCGCCGGCTCAGCACTCCATCAGCCAGGCAGCAGGTGCAGGGAAGGGCAGAGCACATGGACTCCGGGTGGCCTTGCAGGTCAGAGGTGAAGGGCAAGAGCCTGCAGTGTGTGGGAAGCCGTCTCCTCCTGCCCCACTCCCAATGTAGTTTGGACGGGAGCTCAGAAAACCGGAAACCCTGCACTCGGAGGATGAGGCAGTGGTCTAGACACGACTGGCAAGTCAGTTTGTTCAGGAGGGGTGGGGCGTACCAGGAATGGGTGGAAGACCTAGCACCCAGCAGGCAGCGCTGTGCCCCTGCACTCTAGCCCAGGCACCACTTTTAGGAGACAGGGTCTTCCACGTGGTTCAGCCTGGCCTTGAACTAACCAAGTCAGAAAGAACCCACGAACCCTAATTTCAGGAAATGGGTGGGGAAGATCCTCTCAGTTATGGGAGAACTGACCCGCAAATGTCAAAGATCCATTCCACTTAAACAGTATTTTCCCATAGTGGAATCCAGCCACAAGAATGGCCACCTCCACACAGCAAGAGCCACCCGAGTTTCCCCCCCAGACTCAGGATGAGACACAGGGGAGCGGCTGAGAAGGAGCAGTGTTCCAGAGCACAGCAAGACCAGGAGGCTTCCTGGGAGCAGGCTTTAATCAAGGTTACACAGACTTCACTCCTGCATCTTCTCAATGGTCTCCTCCTTGTATTTGCCCTTTTCCTTTCCTACTTGGCGAGACTTGGCTTTCCGTTCCAGGATCTTTTTGCGGTCTTTGTCCAGTTTTAGCCTGGTGATGACCACCTGCAGAGAAAATGGAAAAGAGCCCCCAGCTTAAATAACTGCTAACACAACGGGCCCAACGACCAGTCCCTCTCCCACACCAAGGGTAGTGGACACCTAAACAAGAAAGGAAACTGCAACTGAGCCCTTCAAGTCAAACCTGACTCCAAGCGCCCAGTAATGCTCTACCAACAACTGGGAAAGGCAAGGCCGTGCAATCTCTTCTGCGCTTTCCGTAAAATCCAGCCTCTTCCTTACTGTGAAATTTAACCACCCCGTATCTCATCACAATTTTACAAGCCAACCAAGACATATAAAGAACGTTTTTGTTCTCTGCAGTTTAGAATTCCGAAGCTGGGAATTACTCAACCCAACTATCTTTATTCTAGGAACCCTCCTGTTAAAGAACTGTTACAGTGACACCTGCACACTCCAGTTTATAGCAGCACAACTCCTAACTTAGGCTAAACCTTGGAAGCAGTCTGTACAGCCACCACAGACGGATGGATGAAGAAAACACAGTATTCACACACACTGGAGTTCCAGGCTAAATTTGAGCTACTTACAGGAAAATGGACACACCCTTATACACTGCATGGTTTTTCTGATGAGAAACCTGAGTTATAATCACTTAAAATGGGTCAGAGGCCACAGGACAATAGATGTTTTAAAAAAGAGAAGGGGACCAGGAGATGGAGAAACTGAGACGCATTATGCACCAGCTCCCCGTGATGACGTAATCACTGTATACTGCAAACATCTGGGAAAATTTTAAAATTAGTGGACGTCCAGATGCCTATATTCCCTACACTCAAGAAGCTGAGATGGACTCAAGGTTTGAGTCCAGCTTGGAATACAAAATGAGTTCAAGACTAGCCTGAACTGCAAAATGAAATCCTGTGATTGTGAAGCTCCTGCTTACTTCACTCCACTGAACACACAATCAAAAAGATTAAAATAAACAAACAAGCCAAACTGAAAGCCAAACCTTGGATCTAACCCTCAAGTACACAGTAGGGTGTCTTAGTCTTAGGAGGCAAAGTGAAGGGGAAAAAGCAGCCATGCTGACCAAAACACAGGACCACAAAGCTTCCATTCTGCTACAGTGAGACAGAAACCAAGTAATGGAACTTCACTTTGACATAGGAAATAAGCAAATTAAAGAAGGGTGAGGAACAGGGCATATTTTTTACAAAGCGATCAGGCAAAGCCTCACAGCTAAAGCTACAAGAACAGCAAGTTAAATGTCCAGAGACAGAACTTGGCAAAGCCCTTGCCTAGCATGCATAGCCTCTGGGTTTCATTCCTAGCATCATAAAACACAAAAAGCACAACAACATACTACCTAGGTCACAACCACCAATTCCACCCCAAAAGCTTGTGAACCCAGAGTTTTAACTCAGTCAAGTTATCAGATAACGCTGCCAACCAGCAGATACACTTGTAGCATGGTTTAGGAATTCCACGGAGGCCGCGGGAGCCGATTAACAGGTACAGGGGAAGGTCTAACAACTGACCCTGACAGTCACAAGCAGGTTTCTAGGTAACATGTGACAGTAATAAAGACTCTTGACTGATAAGCAGCATATAAATAAAAATGTTATTCTGGGCCGAGCAATGGAAGGACAGCCGTCCTACACGCAGAGGGAAGGTCTCAAAGGCAAAATGAGGAGTTTGAACCCATTCAGGTCTGAGGTATTGATCAGATATCCATTTTGAAATGCAGCAAAGTTAGAACTAAGTATTGAGTATAAAGCTGGGGGGGGGGGGGGGAGGGGGCCTAGGCTGGAACCCCTGGCCTCCAGGTGTCTGAATTTCTACGAGCCACTCAGAGATCAACTGCGTCACAGGCTGCACTTATGAAGTCCTACAAGACTAAGGACACTCACTGGACCAACAAACTTAACACATGCTGGGCTAGTGCCAAGAGGCAAAAGTGACTTCAGGCTGGCCTGGCAAAGTCCTTGCCCTTCAGAAATGCACATGTAAAGCATGGTGACACTTCACAGGGGTGTCAAGAAAAGAAAATGCACCAAAATTTCAAGAGAATTCTAGGTGAAAGCCACATCGGTACCCTACTGTTCTAACCTCTGACCTTTGGTAGGCTGAAGATGAGGCACAGCACCAACACCGAGCCAGTCCTCTCCCTCCCCTCTCCCGGTATCTTACACCAAACACAGAGTGTTAAACACTTGGAAGAAAGCAGCAGCATGGAAACAAAGGCCCTCACTTTGCAAACCGTCATTATAATCTTGGGGTAACTCACAAATGTGTGTGTGTGGGGGTCCTCACCAGAAATCGAACCCACAACATGTGTACCAGCATGTGTACTAGGCACAGGCAGGCACTGTGCCACTGAGCCATTTCCTCGTCCTGTCACATAAAATTCAAAGCAGATGTCTATGACGACCAGACCAGACTACCAGACTTTCTGGCTTAGACCTAAGTGCTACCCACCCAGGGGTGTTAACGCTTCACTTCAACTGTTTCCCCCGAAATGGCTTACAATCTACTTCCTAAGATTGTGAAGCTCCTGCTTACTTCACTCCACTGAACACACAGAAGTAAACAGGGCTGGAGCTCGAGTTCTTTCATTCTTTGGAGAGTCTGTGTGTAGTCTGGGCTGCCCTTGAATTCATGGGGATCCTCCTGTTTCTGCCTCCTGAGTGATGGTTACAGTTGTATACCACATCTGGCTATTTTATAATTACTCTATTTCCCAGATTTTTAAATCTGCCAGTGATCAGATTGTTAAGTCTACTGGCTCCAAATGTCAAAGACAATGATTACAATTTTCACCGGGTGTGGTGGCTCACGCCTGTAATCCCAACTCTCAGGAGGCTGAGGCATGAGGATCATCAAGTTTGAGACCATCCTGGAGCTACAAAGTGAGCTTAAGGCCTGCCCAAAACTGCATAGAGACCCTGTCTCAAAAAGACAAAAAACAAAACAAAACAAAACAAAAAAACCCCTACAATTTTCAATACAAGCATCATGTTGTTTTATGACACGATCCACAGCAAACCAAGCAGGGACTATTTCTCAGGGGGCAATCCCATCTGCCAAGAGTAACTGTCATGATTTCCTACTTTCGCAAACATTCTTCCTAACACCTACCTTGCTGGGGTGAATGCCCACATGGACAGTTGTGCCATTTGCCTTCTCCCGCTGCACCCGTTCGATGTAGATGACGTACTTCTTCCTGTAAACCTGGACCACTTTGCCAATCTGCTGACCTTTATAGTGTCCTCGCACAACCTAAACAGAAGTTCAAAAGTAACAGAAACATGTGGGTTAAAGAACAAGATTAACTTGTAAATCAGAAACTGTATTTACACACCATTCACCCTACAAGACACACAGGATCTTCCAATTTTAAGACTTAATTCTATCCTTGGCTTTCAAAAACTTTTAAATAATGCATGCTCCCATCAGCCTAAGTGATGGACAGGGCAACCCTACAACTGATGGTCACCAACAGTGACAGGCGTTGCAAAAGGTTAAATGGGAGCCAACTCTTGGGAGTCTGTACAAAGCTGACAAGGAACTTTCTGCAAGACAATAGGCCACAAGCCTTGAAACAGGGTCTCACTGCATAGTTCAGACTGGTCTTTTAACTCACAAGATCCTCCTGCCTCAGCCATGTGCCACCTTGTCTGGCTAGGCCACCGGTGTTTAATCCACAACTCACTTAAACTGTTCAGGTCAGTACCAGAGTGGGCAACAAGCAGTGAAATGAACCATCAGTTCTTTCTCACAGGGTTCCAGGCCAAGAGTTGTAGCGGTCCTCAGCCTGCCAGAAAAGCAACTCAGAGTGCTTCGGAACACACTGCATTTCAGTGGTTATCTTGAAAACAACAAGAAAAATGCTTCTAAGATCTACTGGCAGTTTTAACACTAGTACTTCAGGAAGTGGTAAGTGATGGCTGTTTAAACCCATACTGCCCTTTGAAGGGCTCGTTTTATCAGTACTGGGGATCGAACTCAGGACTGCTGCTTACAAGGCAGGCGCTTATGCTGCTGAGCTAAATCACCAGCCCCCATCATTTTACTTTCTTTAAATGGACAACAACCCTACGAAGTACCAGTGGTGATGCAGGTAACAGATGTTTTAGAAACTACCTGAATTAGTTAATCGCTAGGGCAGCATGGTCCTAAGCAGCATTCATAGAATTTTTGCTCATGTAGACTTGGCAAATTATTTACCAGTAAACCCAATCATATCACATTGTTCTTTTTGGGACCTCATGACTCTTCAATGACCAAACAGATTGACAAAATAACCCCAAGTGTTCTGGCTGCCTGTCTTGCTGTTCCATTTAATCATGGATACATGATTTAAGAAACTGACTTGTATGAAGTAAAAGAATTGCAAGGCAGCACACTTTGGTCTTTGAACCTTGCAAATCCCCTTCTAGACTAAGCCTGTGACATTTCATCAAGACAATCTGAACGAACAGGGATACACACCTGAACCTCATCATCCTTTCGGATGGGCATAGATCGAACATTGTATTTCTGTCTCAGCTCTTTGGAAAGAGGGGAGGACATAATCTTCCTGCGAATGTGCGACGGTGCATTGAAATGCCTTTTGCGGTTCTTGCTTCGGTCCGAAGTCACAAAAGGATTGAACTTCATTTTGGCTTAAAAGTAAACAAATAAATAAATTACTTAAACAACTCGAGCCGCATCTTGAAAGCTTAAAGTGCTCATAGAAAGCGTCATATTGAGTAACGGCATCAAATGTTAGGCTAAATGGTCTTACCAATTGAAGCTTAAAATCTAAAGACTTCATTAACACGTTTCAGTAGTAAAACTTTGTTTACACTCTCCAAACTCCTTAAATACCGTGCAAGGGAGCCAAAACCGGGTATATCATGGCCTCTGACAATTCAGTTTTTCAAACGTAACAACATCAAGTTTTACAAACGTCGACCGACGTTCACCTTCTACGGACTTTCAGCCTCTCCACAATTAGCCACACGACCATGTCACACTATGTTTTCCACTCTGAACCTGGAAATTTCTGCATAGATTTCGGGCCCTAAAGCCTTTCAATGGGCGAAAATGATCTAGAAACTCTGTAAAACTGTTAAAAACTAGTCGTTTGGAAAACATTCTTTAGTAAACCACACTTCTCAGTCTTCACTCCATCTCCACAGACTCTCTCTCCTTTTGGCCCTGTCTCCGAGACCCCATATCTGTTCCTTCTCCCCGCTCAGAGAGGCGGTCCCTGGAGCTGGAAAAACAGCGTGAAACCACTCCAGACCCCGCTCCCTGGCTGCTGCCCGGGCAGCTGGAGAATGTGGAGACCCCCTGGGTAGACAGCCACCGTGCTCAGGCACGGATGGCTGCGGATTACACGCGCCTCTACACCACCGAGTCCTCACCGGCTGCAACTCCAGCGATGGCCGCAAAAGGGAAAGGGCGACGCTTTGCTTCCGGTTCGGTAAGTTTCGACAAACCTCGCGAGACCGATGTCTTTTAGAAGAGCGGCACGGGATTTCAGCGAGGAGCGGAAACAGAAAGCAAGTGATGACTAGCGTCACCTGGTGACTCGGAGGAGAACTGCAGCATCCCTCCTGCAAGTAGGTAGGTATGGGCGCCCGGCTGAATCTTCTCGGAAGGGGCGTCCTCGGGAGAGTGGCTTGGCATCCTCAGGTTGCGACTACCTAGTGAGCGATGAAGGAAGCAGCCCCAGGGGTCCCCACCCCTTCTCTCTCCAGTGCCAGGCGGCCGGCGCCCTTTTAGCCAGGAAAGGACAGATCCTACTTTTTGCCTTTAGGTGGCGGCCGTCCCGGCCGGGGGTCACCGGGGTTACTTAGGGCCCCGCCCCCAGAAGTGGGCGTGGCCAGCGCGCGGGTCCTTAAAGAGCCCGGGCCGGCGCGCCCTGGGCGGGTGCGAGTGGCACCCTCCCCTCCCCCATCCCGCCCCAGATGTGGCTCCTGCGGGCCCAGTCCTCCGCTGGGCTGCGGCCGCCCATCTTCCCAACCCGCCGAAGCAGTTGAGAACCCGCATTTCTGACGAGCTGCCAGGCGACACCAAGGGCGCTGATTTACGTTTTGCAGTTTCTGTTTGCACACGTTGCAGTGTATAATGATTACATTCATCGTGCGGTGTTGGTGCGTAATACATTGATGGGTTCCGCTTCCGTGGGACTCTGCCAGGTTCTGCACGGCGCCACTCTCGCCTTCTGGTCCTAAAACAATACATTTTCTGTCTCCCCTGCACGCACGTGCCTTCCTTAGGTCCTCCAGTCCCCCTCCTGACTCCGTCCACCCTCTGCGCACCCAAATCCTCCAGTCTTCTCCCGGTATGATGACCTGCCACGCACGTGGTCTCTACCCCTCCTCCACAATCCCGTGAAAGCGACTCCCCAGCTGTGTCTCCTTGGAGGGAATCTTGCACTCTTCTGACACCCTCCGGTGCCCACAATAAGGCCTCTTTATCTCAACTGCGCCGAAAAACCTAAGAACATCCATTCATTTTTCATCCTCTTCCTCTCCCAGCGCCACACCCATCTCTTGGTCTCCTTCCCCTGTGCAAAAGGTCTATGTTTCACTGCTACCTATGATCTGTCTTTTATTTTGCTCTTTGAATTATTCGTGCTTTGAGTTTGTCATATCAAAGAAACCATGTAACGTTTAAACTGTGCCTCTGATGTGTTTCACTTCACACTGTTGTAGGTGCATCCATTTTTCTGCAATAACTCAAATTTACCCCTTGTGGAGGAGTAGTCATGTATTGTGTGTATAAACGCCACATTTTCTTTATAAGAGCACTAATACAGAACCCACTTCATTGCGAGCGATGTGCTACCTGCTTTCCAAAGTTTCTGCTGTTCTCCTGTCAGGATCTGGGGGAAGCAAGCTATGGGGATTCTGAGGCATCAGTTTCTGTGGGATGAGTAATGCAGGTATCATGACAGGTGACACATTTCGCAGTAGTACATAAGATGTAGGTACTTGCTGCGTGCTAGGAACACATCTACACTTCTGTGCCCTTTGCATTAATTTTTTTTTTTTTTTTAAACAGGGTCTCACTATGAAGTTCCAGCCAGCCTTGAGCTTTCTATGTAGCCCAGGCTGGCCTCAAACTCTCAGCAATCCTCTTGCCTCAGCTTCCTAAGTGCTGGAATTACAAGCATGTGTCACCACAGTCAGCTATATTATTGACTTCTTTAAGCCACAAAATAGTCCTGTTGGTGCTGGTGTTATTATTGTCCTTATTTTGCAGAAGAGAGAACTGATCCACAGAGAATTAGAAAAGTCCATAGTTTATAGCTGAACCCAGACAGGCAGGTTTCCCTAGCACGTCTGATAAAGCTGTCTGTGGCCCAAAATTTGTTGGAACCTGCAGGGTCAAATAAAAGACTGAGAAACTGTTTGTTTGAAGGTCCATAGTGGAGTCAATAAAGAACATGTGTTTTCAACCAACAGAGCGAGGAAAAAGCCTACGAATGGGAAAAAATTAGACAGGGGACTAATATCTTGAATATATAAGGAACTAAAAAAAAAATAGATTTCCCAAAATAAAGGAGCCAATCAAAAAATGGGGAACCGAAATGAATAAACACATCTCAGAAGAAATACAAGTGGCCAATAAAAACATGAAAAAAATGTTCAACATCTCCAGCCATTACAGAAACAAAAATTAAAACAATACAGAGATTCTATCTAATTGAAGAAAAATGGCCATCATCAAGAAATTAAATAATAATAAGTGCTGGCGAGGCTGCAGGGGAAAAGGTTCCCTTCCCCACTGTTAGTGAGAAGGGAAACTTAACTAGTACAGCCTGTATGGAAATCCGTAGGGAGATTCCTCAAAATAAAAAAAAAGCAGAAATAGAAAAAATTTTAATAGTTCAGAGACTTTATTAGCTATAATTACAGTGCTTGTCTAAATGAAAACTGAATCCTAGAGGATGCAGGAATAAAAAAAAATAAATGAAAACTGAAAACAGGTATACAAAATGGTCAAGTACTGATTGTGTTTGAAAGCAGTAAGAAGCCAGACATAGTGGTGCTCACCTGTAATCTTAGCACTCGGGAGGCTGAGGCAGGAGGATCCTTGCGAGTTCGAAACCAGCCTGGGCTACAAAGTGAGCTCAAGGCCAGCCTGAACTGCACAGCGAGACCCTGTCTCAAAAAAAACAAAACAAAACAAAACAAAACAAACAAACAAAAAAAAAACAAGTATCAACTCCCCATGAGGAATGTAATCATTATGCCAACATAGACTAACAAGAAATAAAAAATTTCAGAATGTGTTTTCATAGTTCAAAAATAGTTGTGTTGGCAAGAATGCAGTCACATACCCTTAGAGCATCCCACCTATTAGGAGGTTGAGGTAGGAGGATTATCAGTTCAAGGCCAGCCTGAGCAATTTAGTGAGATTTTAGCTCAAAATCAAAATCCAATAAATTGGGTGTGGTGGTGTAATCCCAGCACCTAGAGGGCTGAGGCAGGAGGATCTCTGTGATTTAATAGTGAGACCTTGTGTCAAAACCAACCGAATATATAAAAGGGCTGAGGTTGTAGCTCAGTGATAGAGCGCCGCTCAGAGTTCAGTCCCCAGTCCCACGCACACACGCGTGCATATACAAACAAGAAAAATTGTGTTCTTAACTGAGACCTCGGTGACCCCAAGACTAGTGAGCGGATGCATCTTTCACCGGCCAGGCCTGAACTAGACACGAGCCAGGCGCTGAGTCCTCGCGCGTGCGTGCTGGCAGGCAGCCTGGTCCAGAGGCAGGCAGCCCTCAGCACTAAGGCTGGCCCACAGGAAAAAGCTGCCTTTGATGCTCTGCTTTCTTCCGGGCAGAAGCAAGAGGAAATACTTCTGCAGTGAGGTCACCCTCGCTGGGGCCGGGGAAAAGCAATGCTGACAGCCAGTGAGAGAGCTCCTGGCATCAGCCTAATACTTTGGTTTTTGAGACAGGGTCTCCACTGTACAGTTCAAACTGACCTTGAACTCACAAGGTAATGCTGGGGGGCCTTCAGTTGGGGTTCTGGGGGGGTCTAGGCTGCACCTCTCAGGAGCTGGGATTGCAGGGTTTTGTAAGGCTCGGCCAAAATTGCAATCTTCCCACACCGGGAGTCGAACCCGGGCCGCCTGGGTGAAAACCAGGAATCCTAACCGCTAGACCATGTGGGAGGACTGTAGTAGGCTGCTTCCTTCCTTACACTTCTTTCATCAGCTGCCCCGCCCACAAGAGGCTCACGTTACTTCCTCAATTGCCGCCGTTCACTGACTTTTTCCTGCTCTTTCTGGGCGTCCTTTCCGGCTCCCCTCCCCACAGCTCTGAGTCGTCAAGATTAACCCTGCAGCTCACCGTGTGCACGGCGCAGCCACGTTGCACGGGAGCCCCCGGGAGCTGCAGACTATGCACAGAAGCGATCCCCAGCAGCCTACGTAGGTCCAGCCTACCGGGATCGTTTGGCATCGCGGCTCCACCCTGCTGATCAGCTGTACCCTGGTCTGCCTGCTTTCGCTGCCCCTTTCTCTAAGTACCTGTTTACCTGGCTTGAGAAAGGTCCCTTCAGCTGGCTCTTTAGGGTCTTCTTATGGAGCCCTTGGACACTCTAAAGCAGGGATTGTATCCAGATTTCACGCCTGAAGTGAACTAAACTTTTTTATAGACACCAAACTATTGTATTCATTCAGTCGTTCATAGATGCAGATATTCATTATATAAAATTTATCTTGCTGGGTGTGGCAGGACCATGCCTGTAATTCCAGCACTGAGGAGGCTGAGACAGAAGGATCTCTGCAAATGTAAGGCCAGTTTGGGCTACATAGTGAGTTCAAGGCCAGCCTGGGCTGCCCTATCTGTAAACAAAAACCAAAATACCAAAAATAGAAAAAAAAGAGTTTATCTTCTATCTAGCTTTTACTAGTCACTAAATTCTGTGTTAAGCTGAATTACCAAGATCTGTACGATCCAGCTTTCCCTGAAGGAACGCTGCCTGGAGGGACACAGTTACATCAACCAAGAAACTTAATAACCTGTCCCCAAGAGGATGGTGGTGCATTCTGTGTGTGTGTGTGTGTGTGTGTGTGTGTGTGTGTGCACAATGCCTGGTGCCTCTGGACAAAGGGAGAAAGAGAGCAACAGAGCTTAGCATTAGCCTCAAGGGTTCCTCTCTTTGTCTGTCTGTGCAGCCAGGATCTATCCGCCCAGCCAGCTGTCTGTCATCCTCTGCCTGATGTTATTGTCCGCAGTGCCCTAACCTAAGGTGTTGGCTTTAAGCCAAACAGTGTATTTAGGAAGAACAAACAGAGCTGGGAATATAGCTCAGCAGGCATAAGCCTGCCTGGCAAGTGCGAGGTCCAGAGTTCAACCCCATACCAAAAAGAAGCAGGAGGAGGAGGAAGAGGAGGAAGAGGAGGAGGAGGAGGAGGAGGAAGAGAAGGGGAGTCAAAAGAAACATAGGGATCAAAGAAATGCACAGGATCATCGAGATTAAACATTTTGCCTTCTTGGGTTCTTATTAAGCATAAGATGTCATACTTCTAACCAGATAAACCAGCCCAGAGCCAGTACCTGGACACTCCTGAAGCACAGGACCTGTGGTTTGGCAGTTCTCGAATGACCTTGGGGCGAGCTTCCTACCAGGCAACAGGTGTGAACACTGAAGACATCTTTAGCTTCTTACATTTCTGTTTGATTTGTCATGCACGTGTGTGTGTACACACACTGAGAACTGAACTCAAAGTCTTGTATATTAGGGATGTTCTATGTCACCCCTAGAATCCTTCCTTTTTCTTGTTTTGGGGACTGAACCCAGGGCCTTTGCACCGGCTTACATCCCCAGCCCTTTGTGTTAATTTTTAATTTTCAAGACAGAGTCTTGCTAATTTGAAAAGTTCCCCAGGCTGGGTTCAAACTTGTGATTTTCCTGCCTCAGCCGCTTGGAGTGCTGGGATTACAGTTATGCACCATCATGCCCAGCTACTAGTTGTCTGTTGATTAACCTTTAGGGTTTTCCCTACCCTTTGCTATAATAAACAATACTGAAATTATATAACATTGTACACGTCACTGCTAGATGTGCAAGTGTATGTAGAGGCTATATTTCTAGAATGGAACTTCCGGGTTAAAGTGGAACTTTGATAGGTAATGCCAATCTCCCTTGATAAAGGTTTTACCAGTATATATGCCCATCAACAATTACCATCAGCCTCAGCGGGTTTGACAAGCTAACCAGTAAAAATAGAATGCCAGCAGAAATTTTAATTTATATTTCTTTTATAAAGGTGGCTGGGATATAGATATAGCTCAGTGGCAGAGTTTGATTCTGAGTTTGATTCCCAGTCCCCAACCCCCAAAAAATAAAATAAAATAAAATGAACAAGGCTGGCTGGATCAATGTTTAAGGACCATTTACATTTCTGATTTTAAACTGTCTTTTTCATGCAACATGAATTAACCTACAAGTCCAAGCCCAGAGCTCCCCACATACATTACAAAGTCTCTGGAATCTTTGAGAAAATACATAGCTTTATTTAAAAAATAGCTTTGGACATTCTTTGAAAATACAAGAAGTGTCATCTAGAAGTCACAGGTAAAGGACATGAAAACACTGTGGGTCTTTTGACAGAAACTCTCAGCAAACACAACAGCAGATGAGAAGACTCAAATCAGCTCCCTAGAAATTTATGACATTGCTTAGAACAGCCTGGCTGAGGTGAAGACGGCTCAGGAGAGTCTTTGTGAAGTTAACATTATTTTTGTCCCTGTAATAAATATTGCCCCTGGATCCAGCAGCTCCCCCCCACCCCCCACCATGTGCTCTTCCCTGGTCTTGGAGTCCGGGCTAGAAGACAGTCCCCTCCGTGTGGTGAACATGCCCTGGGGTGCAGACCCCCTCCCTGATGACTCCCAAATGAATCAGCAACAGCCAGATAGCAAACCTTGACAAGGTGTGGTACAGACTGCTGGGGGGGGGGTTCAGCTGCTGTACCCCTGAGATGCTGACCCCCCCATTTATGAGGCTAGCTGGGGGGTCTAGTGTCATAAGGCCTTGATTGACTGTGGTCCTCAATTAAGAGCCGATAACTGTTCCCAAATACTTGTTCCTCAGGCAAGACCCAGCTCAGCCCAGCCCAAGGCTTTTCTGGGGTGTCTTAGCAAGGGGCCCCAGCACAGTCCAGCTGTGGTCCCCAGATAAACAGGCCCTAGTGGCGAGCGGCTGACAGCACCTGACTTCAGCATTTGTTGAGACGGCAGAGTCCCTGACAATCACAGCTGCTTCCCTCCCCACCCGTCCTCGCCCTGCTCAGCCTGGGAATCCACCCGGGGAACTGGCCCAGCTAGCGCGGCCTCTAATGAGTGGCTGGGTCATGAGGAGGAGGACTCGGGCAGGGAGGGAGAGGGGAGCCCCCAGGGGTTAATTTGCCCACATAATTCACAGATGACTCAGCTCTCACCTTGCCAAGCGTCCCCTCCACCCCCTGGTCTTCTGCTCCAGCCCGGCGAATCCCAGGACTCAACATCGGGTCCATGCCTTGGCCTGGAGGGTTCTGGAAAAGCGCTGGCCCTGTTAGTGGCCATTCTGCTGACCTGGGCCTCTTGGGACCAGCCCTGCTTCCTGATGTGCATTCTGCTCTCTGTTCTGTGTGGCTTCCTCCAGAAATCCTTGCCCCTGCCTCTGAGATCAGCTTCTCACTCAGGGAAGGCTTTGCAGACTAGTGGGTCGGAGGCAGAGAGGACTCGGGGGAGGGACACTCCGAGTGGGGCTACCATTCCAGGAAACCACGGTGTGACCTTCCGCACTGACCTCCTGCTTGTTCCAGAGGTCAAACAGCAGAATCCTAGGTGGGAATTCTGGCCTGTACCAGGTCTGCCATTGGGCCCCCAGCTAGCAGGACACGGGCCAGCAGAGCGTCCTTGTCCCCAAAGGGATTGCACTGGGCTTCAGCTAGGTCATCTGGCAGGTAAGGTGCCCATCAGAGGGTGGGGACCAGCCATCTTCCCGCCTGGAGAAGGGCTCTTTGCAGGGGTGTACATGGAAGCCACACCTAATCCAGCCTTAGGGATCTCCAGCCCCCAGCCTAACTGGCCAGCCTAAGCCCCTACTGGGTCCGGCTCTGTGTGTGTGTGTGTGTGTGTGTGTGTGTGTGTGTGTGTGTGTGTGTAAGGAGACAGCCAGCAGACTTCCAGCCCAGCCCCACCCCGTGCCCACACTGCCTCAGCCCCTCAGAGCTTTGGGGCACCCAGTCCGCTCCTGCCCAGGCCAGGCCTCCTCCCACCGTCTCGTCCAGTGCCACCACTCATGCCTGCTTCCTCACCAGCAGCACCCAGGGCAGGATGGCAGCCACCACGGCCACCACGGCGATGAGGGTGATGAGCAGGAGCGCCCGTGAGCGGCAGCAGAAGGAGCGGCGGGCGCTGGGGGCCGGGGACACCTCCGAGAGCTCTGCCAGGCTGCGCCGCGGCAGCACGCTGTCCTGCTCCCCCAGGGGCATCCCGTGGCGGCTGATGATGAAGATCTGTGACTCTCGGGGCAGGCTGGGCAGCAGGTCCAAGGGCAGCTGGGCCCCCTGGTTCGAGGATGACCTCCAGACCGGCTGGGAGATGGCCAGGGGGTTTGTGTGGCCCACACGATCCGGGGAGGGGACGGAGGGCAGGGGCACGGGCAGGCCCACGGGCACAGTCAGGGTCTGGGAGCTCTTGTCCAGCATGGAGGGCCAGCGGGAGCTCTTCTTGCTGAGGAAGGTGACATAGCGGCAGATGGGGCAGACGATGGTCCTCTGCACCTGCCCGTCCACCCGGGTGGACAGCAAGTACTTGACCAAGCAGTCATGGCAGAACACGTGGCCGCAGCTCAGCGTCCGGCTGGCGCCCTCCAGGTCCCGGAATTTCTCGTAGCACACTGGGCACTCGCTGCCCGAGCTGTCCTTGCTCTCCCCTTCAGACATGGCCCCTCAGACAAGGCAGGGCTCAGCTGGGGAGGGGCAGAGGGTTAGAGTTGTGAACACCAGTCGTCCTCTCTGTCCCCCTCCCTGTCCCCGCCCCCTGTCCAGCCGCCCTGGCCAGCTTATGCCTTCATGGCCGCTTCCCTTTCTCTGCACTCCTGGCGTCCTTCCCTGCCTCACGGGCCTACAGAACTAGAGCCTAACACTCTTGGGAGGAGGTGTGCAGGTGCTTCCTGGCAGGGGCACTGGGTGACAGATGAGAGGTCCTGGCACCTGGCCACTGGGAGGAAGTGTGCAGAGTTCCTGAAATACTTGACGTCTCACTCAGCGGTGACACGGCTCATGGTGAGGTCACCACCTCACCCCTCCGGGCCTGGGACTCAAGTGAAGGCCGGAAGACCCAGGACAGAGGGAGCTAAGATGCACAACCAGCCCCAGCCCAGTCTCTGCGCTGGGCTTGCACTCCGAGGGGCCATTTTTCAGCAAGTGTGTGCGGCTACCCGCAGCCTCCCTGCTCAGCCAGGGTGGGCTGAGTCACGGGTGTGCATTCCTCTGTGCTAAGTGTGGCTATAAAACAGTGACTGTCCCAGAAATAAAGCTCAGAATGTACACACGCAAATACCCGCCGGCCTTTTGCCCAGTCACACAACCACCGTGCCACGGTCATTCTCCAGATCCTTTTTATGGGGCTGCTGGGGACAGGAGCCTCTGATTAACCTCTGCCGAGGAAGAGCGTCAGATCCTTGGGGGAGCTGTCTGAGGTTTTGGAAATGGCCACGAAAGTCAGGGGGAGCTGAGGATGGTGAGATCTGGGGCATGTTCCTGTCTGACTGGAAGGTATCGAGTCCCTGTAACAGTGGGCTTTAACCTCTGTGTCACAGCAGAAGAGAGACCCTCAAGGGCGCTCTCAGCGGAAATCCAAGGACTTCGAAGGGGACACCTGCTCGGATGAGTGGCCAGGCCCCAGTGAGTCTTTACCTACAGAAGCCTCTGTGGAAGGAGCCATGGTCGCTTATTATTGATACGTTTATCATTGGTGACAAAGAAAGACCCCAAGACACACTGACAAAATAGAGCTGTGTGGCAGCCCCAGGGCTGACAGATGACGTGACAGGAACAAATTAGCTCCTGGGAAGGACAAGCTATCAGGATCACAAATTGTTTGGGACCTCTCCTCTCTTTCAGCTTGGTCCCAGGTCTGTTTTGTCAAGTTGAAAATGTCTTCTAACTAAGAGGGAAGACAGGTGGAGGTGGTGATGAGAATCTTGGGACGGTGAAGAAGCCCCAAGAGCTCTGTGGGTCTCCAGCTTTGATCTCTGACACGGTCAGGACACCCCATGTGTGCATGGGGTGGTTAAGAACTTGGATGTCGGGGCTGGGCATAAGCACCTGCCTTGCAAGCAGGCGGTTGTGAGTTCGATCCCCGGTACTGATAAAAATGAAAAAGACAAAAAAAAAAAAAAAAAAAAAGAACTTGGATGGCAGAAGTAGAATCAAATTCCCTTCCCTCTGTATAATGAGGTCAAGTTGTTTGACCCTGAACCTCAACTTCCCATCTGTAAAATGGGACCGAAAATAACAGCCCCATCTTCCTCCTGGACTCAGTGGAGATTTAAGTGAGTTCATGTGACTGAAGGCTGTGACACACAGCAAGTGGTCAGTAAGTGGGAGGTGTCACTGGTACAGCAGGCCAAGCCCTTGCTCCCTCTTCTCCCACCAGGGGATTTAGAGACCTCTGTCCTGTGTCTCGTCTAAAACGTGGGGTCCCCTTGATAGCAGCTTGTCTCAGAACAAGATGGCAATAGATTAGGTAAGCAGCGGATAATGGATAAAAATTAAGGTGATGATTCTGCGTTTCTCTGTTTTCATTTCATGACATGAACATAAACACCTGAACATGGATATTATCAGGGTGACCATGATTTTCCGTTTTTTTTTTTTTTTTTTACAGAAAACAGGCCAGATGGAGCCCTCTCACCTGATGGAGAGGAAGGAAGCAAGGAAGGATGGAAGAAAGAAAGGAAGGAAGGGACAGGAACAGAAGGAGGAAGACCATGACTTTCTTTTCTTTTTTTTTTTTTACTGGTACCGGGGTTTGAACTCACGACCGCCTGCTTGCAAGGCAGGTGCTTATGCCTCTGAGCTAAATCCCCAGCCCCGACCATGATTTTCTTGAGCCAATCACCTGCCAACATTCCCTTTATTTTATAATTCCCCACGAGTATATGGTAGCAATTCTAGCCATCCTTCTGTCTATCTGCTTTTCCAATTAGTCGACAGATTTTTTTTTTTGAGACAGAGTCTCCACGTGCTGTCCAGGCTGGTCTTGAACTCACTATGTAGCTCAGGCTGGCCTTGACTCACAGCGATCCTCCTGCCTCAGCCTCCTAAATACTGAGATTATTCAACAAATGTTTACTGAACACTGCTATTTACTAAGTACTGAGTTACAACACTGGCGATAAGCAGGGATAGAAAAGTCTTTCATGAAATTTTACAGCCTACAAGGCATTTATAAATTTTCTCGAAAAAGGTTTTTTTACAGGAAGATTGGCAATCAACAGCTCACATTGTTTGGGTAACTGAACAGTGAGGGTAAAGAGAATGGAAGCCAATAGGAAAATGTTGCCAGGGGAGCTTCTGTGATCATTAACTTGAATCTCTTATGTTTATTTTTTATTTTAAAGAGATTAAAAGAAAACGGTGCAAACAAAACAGAAACAATAGAGGACTTAAACTGATAGGAAGTTAACAATAGTTACTATATTATATACTGTTATCTTTTTTTTTTTTGTCTTTTTCATTTTTATTGGTACCAAGGATCGAACTCACGACCGCCTGCTTGCAAGGCAGGTGCTTATGCCGCTGAGCTAAATCCCCAGCCCCATATACTGTTATCTTTAACATAGTTGCTCAGACCCCTTAGTTTACAGAAGAGTAGATTTAGGTCTGGAGGGGGGAATGATTTACCCAGGGTCACCTGGGAAAGTGCTGGGCGGGAAGATGGGGGAGAGACAGGGAGGGAGACAGAGACAGAGACAGGAGATGGAGGGTGGGGATGCTGTGGCTGGTGAAGAGAACGTTACTAGGGTCAGTTTGCAGGGTGGGCGCCTAGTCGGGAACCGCTGCCCTTCGGATGGGCTGATGGGTGAGGGAAGACAGGAGAGGTTTGACCTTTTTTTTTGAGACAGGGTCTTGCTTTGTCGTTTAGGCTGCTTTGAGCTCACTGAGTAGCCTACGCTGCCTTTAAACTTGCTTCGATCCTCATGCTCAGAGAGGTTTGATTTTCCATTTGGGTTCTAGGAAAACACGGGTTCAAGGAATTCGGAGGCACCCAGCCCTGCACTGAGGGCCTCGTCTGCAACAAGCCTCTCACTGCTAGGTGCTTCAGGAGAGCCGTGCCGTGCCGTGCAGACCTGCGCTTGCTTCTCCTCCCTTTCTGTCTTCCCCTGACCCTTTTTTCTTTCCTTGCATCTTTCTCTTCCTCTTTTCTCAAGCACCTACTGTTTAAGTTGGGATACCAGGCATTATATGCTCAAGGCGTCCTCACTAGTACCTGGGGAAATTGGGGGAGAGGAGGAAGAGAAAGCCTCCCCGGGAAGGCAGGACCACTGGTGAGCTAATAATAAATAATTATAACAGCAAACATTTATTGAACACTAATTATGCGCTTGGCATTTTGCATGCCTTCCTCACTGAATCCTGACAACAGCTTTGGGAGGTAGGTATTATGTCCATTTTACAGACAGAGGAACTGAGGCTCAGGGCTGAAGTGACTTGTTCAGTCCACACTGCCTGCACAGGGCACACTTGGAATTTAAACCCAAGACAGTCTGACTACACGGCCCAGGCTACACACCACCACCTCTACTGGATGTTTAGAGGGTTTTCCTGATTCTGGTCAAAGAAGTAAACAAAGAAGCGTGGGTAAAAATGTGACTGCCCAACATCCCGCCCCAGAGTGGCTGAAACAGGCCTGGCCCTCTGGTCACTTCTAAGGCAGGGAGAAGATCGTGGCTAGCTCCAGGGAGGGGACCTTATGAAATTCCTGTGCCCAGCCATCTCGGAAACGGCCCATTTTCAGGATGGGAAAGGGGACAGAGTTGTCACCAGCCCAGGGAAACCATTCTTATTCAGAGATGGAGCCCTGACACAGCCCTGCAGTTTCAGCTGGGACTCCTTCCCCTCCCACAAACACCTCTCCTCCTGGCTTCCCTCCCTCCTGTCTGTCTGTCCGTCTCCCTCTTACACACGCACACCCAGCCCTCTACCTCATTCTAGCCTTTCCCCAGCACTGCCCCTCTCTGCCCCACCTCCAGCCAGGTCCCCACACTCACATCAGCTGGGACCCGCAGCAGGGGCATCCGTCTCTCTACCCGGGAGCCGCCCAGAGGTGCAGGCCGTGTCCTGCTGCTGCCGCTGTCACCGCGGGGAGGCCTTGCCTAATGACTGAGCAGGTCTGGAGGACAGCACCCGCCCGCCTGTCCCGTCGGGAAGTGAATGCTGCCCAACCCGTTTGAGGCCAGGAGGCTCTGGCGGCATTGCCCAGGGGCTGGGCAGTGCTAGCTAGCATCAGGTGACCGAGGAGGATGCTAGAGGTGAGCCCCGGCCTGAGTCAGAGGGTCTCTCAGTGGAACCAGGGACCCAGGTGCCTTGGACTGAGACTCCCAGGGTGCGGGAGTCCCTGCCAATGTCAGGAACGTCCTGTACACGTCTTTCCCACCCTCCGGGGCCCATTTCAGTGACCCCCCCCCACTCCCACTGCACGCACAAGGTCCCATGAAGGGGTGGACAGGTCAGCCTCAGGGAGGTGGGACACCCCAAGCCACGCACCGACATGTACGGTGTGTCCCCAAACACCCAGGGGGGTGCGGGGCGGAAGGTGACTTCCATGGCACAGTAGGACAGCCGTGGTTGACGACAGTTCATTGTACATTTAAAAATAACTGGTCGGGGCTGGGGATTTAGCTCAGTGGCATAAACGCCTGCCTTGTAAAGCAGGCAGTCGTGAGTTCGATCCCTGGTACCGATAAAAAGGAAAAAGACAAAAAAATAAGTAAGTAAATAGCTATTTTAATCATATAACAAAGCTATTGAAAAAAAAAAAAATAACTGGTCGATTTTTAAATGTTCCCAACGTGAGAGATTACACGTG